TCGGACGAAATTCAATTTGGGCTTCCAGTAAATTCCGAAGTCACGCTGGAAATTCCTTAAACCCGAACACGTGTCGGTGTTTAGTTCCTCAAGGTTAATTATAAGTAAGTTCCGACGGTGTATTTCGCGATTTTCACCTCGGATTTCGCAATATTTACTGCATTCCAATTGTATCGATTGCGCCACGGCGGGACTTCCAGAATTCTGGTGTCGTTCCACTAACTGGAAATTGATGAGATTGCCTTTTAGATCTAATGAGGTGAACTTTGTACGTTCCTTTATTAGCGTTTATTATAATATGATTCGAGAAACTTTGTTTTCCTCTCTCATTAAATTGCTGCGTCCAAGGTTAGAAAGGAGGAAGCAAAAACTGTCTTAATTTCTGCTTAGTTGTGAATTTTAATATTTTGAAAAACATCAGGAATTGCAGACGTGCAAACCTGCTTGTTTTCGCAAACAATGTAATTGCTCCTTTGTTATAAACAAAATTTGCTGTTTCATCAAATGGTAATTCTTGCTTGCTTTTGCTCAAAAACAATATTTTGTTGTGAAGGGTTTGTGGTTTAGGGGGGGGGGGGGGGGTCTTCAGTACTCTAATATATGCAATATTTTGACTAAATCATTCGAACGTCCCAATTTCCCAAGTTCTGGGCCTCGCTCAAAACCAAGCCTTTACTATTGGAACTCAAAATTGGCTGCAAGGGTGCTTCATGCCGATTGTCATAAGATTTTTTTTGGGAAATGCGACAACCCCCTTTAGACCAAAATTTAATGGCTGCCAATATTCGAATTCACCATTAATTGGAATTCAAAATTGGATGGAAGGGTGCTTTGTGCTGATTGTCAATTTTTTTTGGAAAATGCAACATCCCCCTTTGGATTAAAATTGAATGGCCGCCAATATTCGAATTCAGCGTTAATTGGAATTCAAAATTGGATGGATGGGTGCTTTGTACCGATTGTAAATTTTTTTGGAAAATGCGAGATCCCCCTTAGGCCAAAATTTAATGGCCACCATTAATTGGAATTCAAAATTGGATGGAAGGGTGCTTTGTGCCGATTGTCATTTTTTTTGGAAAATGCGCTATCTCCCTTTATATTAAAATTTAATGGCCGCCAATATTCGAATTCAGCGTTAATTGGAATTCAAAATTGGATTGAATGGTGCTTTATGCCGATTGTCAAAAGATTTTTTTTTTTTTTAAATACGACGTCCCCTTTTAGACCATAATTTAATGGTCGCCAATATTCGAATTCACCATTTAATTGGAATTCAAAATTGGATGGAAGTGTGCTTTGTGCCGATTGTCAATTTTTTTTTGAAAATGCGGCATCCCTCTTTAGATTAAAATTTAATGGCCGCCAGTAATCGAATTCACGATTAATTGGAATTCAAAATTGGATTGAATGGTACTTTATGCCGATTGTCAAAAAATTTTTTTTTAAATACGACATCACCTTTTAGACCATAATTTAATGGTCGCCAATATTCGAATTCATCATTTAATTGGAATTCAAAATTGGATGGAAGTGTGCTTTGTGCCGATTGTCAATTTTTTTGGAAAATGCGACATCCCCTTTAGACCAAAATTTAATGGCCGCCAATATTCGAATTAGCCATTAATTGGAATTCAAAATTGGATGGAAGTGTGTTTTGTGCCGATTGTCAATTTTTTTTGGAAAATGGGCTATCCCCCTTTATATCAAATTTTAATGGCCGCCAATATTCGAATTAGCCATTAATTGGAATTCAAAATTGGATGGAAGTGTGCTTTGTGCCGATTGTCAATTTTTTTGGAAAATGCGCTATCCCCCTTTATATCAAATTTTAATGGCCGCCAATATTCGAATTAGCCATTAATTGGAATTCAAAATTGGATGGAATGGTGCTTTGTGCCGATTGTCAATTTTTTTGGAAAATGCGCTATCCCCTTTATATCAAAATTTAATGGTCGCCAATATTCGAATTCACCATTAATTGGAATTCAAAATTGGATGGAAGGGTGCTTTGTGCCGATTGTCAATTTTTTTGGAAAATGCGACATCCCCTTTAGACCAAAATTTAATGTCCGCCAAAATTCGAATTCACCATTAATTGGAATTCAAAATTGGATGGAAGGATCCTTCATGCCGATTGTCATAAGATTTTTGTTATTTTGAAAATGCGACATCCCCCTTTAGACCGAAATTTAACGGCCGCGAATATTCGAATTTAACATAATTGCATTTCAAAATTGGAAGGAAGAGTGCTACATGCCGATTGTGATTAGATTTTTTTTTCGAAAGTGAATTCACCATTTCAGAAGCATTAATAGCAGTTTGTCGATCTTCTTCCTCTTTTTTTTTATTTGGTTCCGTTTCTTTTCTACATCTTTCTACATTCAAGTTTCGATATTCCAGAAATTTGAATCGGAAAAATGGAAATAATCGGAAGAATGTGATAGACCCAAAGGACTTGAAGGATGGGAAAATTCGAAGAAAAGGAAAAGAGTTGAAGGTTCTGATGAGTTCGAAGATTCAAAAGAATTCGCGGAGGGAAAACAATTGAAAGAACTCGAAGAAACGAACAAAAAAAATCTCAAAAATTTGAAAAATCGGCAGCAGAAGAAGAATCGAAATAGTTTGTACAATAAAAAAATCAGATGAAAGGGGAAAGTTTAATGCGAATATTGAAGCATCTGAAGACACTAAAAAATTGGACGGATAATGGTAAACAATTTAAAAAAAAAGATTAAACAAATTGGAAGAATCCGCATAGCCTAAAGAATGTGGGAAATTTTATAAATCTGAAGAATTTGAACAGTTCGAAGAATCTACTAGTTCTGATATTATGTAAAGAATCTGTAGGAACGAAAAATTAGGTAAAAATCAAGAATCAGAATGGAAAGAATCCGAAGAAATAAAATCAATTTGAAGAAACGGAAGAATATGGAAAATCGGAGGAATTTTCTTTAAACTTTTTCGTTTCTTCGAATCTGTCAACATTTTTGAAGATTCTTTAATTTTTTCAAATCTATCAGATCATATAAGTACAGAGTTTTCCTATTTTTTTCACTTAATTTTTAAGGTTCTTCGGAGGTTTCAGGGTACTTTAATTTTCAATTTTTTTCTCCTTTTTCCATTTCGTCAAATTCGTTGCTTCGATTAGAACAATCAAATTCTTCGAGTACCGTCATTTCCGCGACTCCTTCCGCTTCCTATATTCTTCAAAGATTCTTCATTTTTTCGACATCTTTTCTATTTTTTAAAATCATTATTATTTCTTCAGATGCTTTTGTTTCTTAGGATGGTTCCTATTTTGTTCAATTTTTCTAGACAAATCTGCTTCTGTCGTTTCATCGAATGTTTCAGGTTCCCTGATTCTTGATTTTTCCCTCATTTTTCATTCCTACAGATTCTTCACTTAATATTAGAATTTAGATTTTTAAAATCTCACAGATTCTACAGGCTTTGCGGATTCTTCAATTTTTTTGAATCGTTTATCATTGTTCTTCCAATCTTTCAGTGTCTTCAAATTCTGAAGATTTTTCCGATTTTTTTCAATTTTTAATATTGTTATTCGATTTTATCTAATTTTTCTTATTCTACGGACCATTTAGATTTAGATCCTCCTAGTGCTGCCGATTTTTAACATTTTTGGAATTTTTTTCATTTCTTTAGACTTTTGTTTCCTCAAGATCTTTGAAGTGTTTCCCTTCGAGGATTTTTTTTAAATCTTCGAATTCATCAGATCTTTCAGATCAATTCTTAAGTTCATTCAGATCTTTTCATTTTCTTCAAATTCTTCCATCCATCACCTTCGTGGGGTCTGGCAGATTCCTTGAATTAATTCTTCTTATTCTTCCGAATCTTTCAAATCCACCAGATTTGTGAAGATGTTTTCCGTTTTTTTGAATTTTTCCGATCCTTCGGATTCTTCAAATTGTTAGAGCGCGGTAAAAATGTTAGCAATTCTGGAAGTACCGAAACTTTTGAAAATGTTTAGAAAATACCATGACAATTTCAACATTGTCATGAAAACTTTCATGTCGCGCGCTTTCTAAATAATATCGTATGTGTGAATTTTGGAATCATTATACCTCTCATTGTCCTGGTCTTCATTTTTTTAGATTCTTCAAATTCCTTCCATCTAAGGATACTGTTGTTTCCCCGAATTCTTCCGATTTTTCATATTCTTCAAATGCTACCCGTGGGAAGTTGCTAATAACCAGCGATAGGTTTTGAATATTTCATGTGTACATCTACAGCTTCTAACCGATGGGTCATGAACAAATTGAGCAAAGGCTTTAGGGGAACCCAAATGTCTTTTCAAAATGATTCTACGATTATATAAATATTGTCGTGATTATTCCAGAAATGTCGCTAGTCGTCGGCGATAAAAAACGAAGGCGGATGTGACGCAATCTTTCCGGGAAATATGACATGTTTTGTTCTAGAACATTCTAGAATAATCGGGAGGTTTCGCAAGCGTTCGAGAAAGAGGGACGTTTGCTATATAGGTAAGCAAATCGAATTGCGTTTCAATCAGTTCCAACAGCGTTGCCTTGACTGATAAATAGCTCGTGCTCGACTTACGTTATAAATCTTAAGTGAAAATCCATGTGAAGACCACGTTTACGTTACAATATTTTCCTTGAACTGTTTGGAATAGAAGCCTCTTAAGGTTTTTCTAGAGACAAAGAAACTTTTGAACGAGTTTGAAAAAACCAAATTTTTTTCGATGTATAATATATAGGGGTGGTCTTTCGGAGTACCAAAGGTTGAAAGGACAAATTCGCAGTCGAGTCGTTCTTAAGGGTTCGCGCCGAAGGGTCGAAGTATATTCTGTGGGAAACTTAAATGCACGTAACCCTTTCGGTTTTCAAAGACGACCCTCACCTGCGTCTTAAATTCGTGGAGAAAATTGTATTTTGTTTTGAAAGGGGGGGAGGGGAACAATTCAAAGTCACGAATTGGAGAACTTGCATTTTTTTTGCACTAATACGGATTTTTTTCCGCAGATTACGTCGCCGGAGGTGAACTTTTCACACACTTATACCAAAGAGAACACTTCACCGAAAGTGAAGTGCGAATATACATAGGCGAAATAATACTTGCACTCGAGCACCTGCATAAGGTAAGTTTTAATTTAGTACCTAGGCAGGTACCTAATTGTGCAGTAACAGTTAAGTTTTACAATAAGAAAAAAATGTGGTACACGTGAACCGTAAACTTCTCCATTATCATTTTCCGCCTTTTAACTGCCATTTCCGGATCTTTCGCAACATATTCGTAGAAGAAAAAAATCGGCCACGCATTCGCCTACTTGCACCTCAAGCACTTGACCTTTTTGCTGTCGTTAATTAATTTTTCTTGTGTTAGAATTAATGTTTTACTCCCACCTCCCCTTTTTCTATATTTGCGCAAATTACGCACACTTACGATTTGTTTAAAGTCAAATATGGAGAGAATAGAATAGAGAGGAATTTGGGTCATGTCTGTGCATGGAAAGAATTTTATTCGACTTCTGCTGAATTTGCAATGAAAACGAGAAAGCGGAATTTATTACCTAACTACAGGATGGCCCTCGTTGTGTTAATGAAAAGCGAACCGATTATTAGACGAGGGCGTGGCGCACGCGTCCGAAAAACTGTTCTCTTTCGCACACCGTTACTCAAAACACATTGACGTTATCTGATTTAAGAGGCCCGTGAAGTCACGGTCATTGAAAGCACAACACGTGAATCGTCGTAGGTACCTCTCGTAGTGCTTTAAAGTATACGGGGCTTTTGTTGCAAATTAAAATAGAACCACCTACTGTAATATGAAAAATAATTTAAAATGAAAATACGGGCATTTAGATACCCGAGAGGTGGTGGGGGGGGGGGGGGGGGGGGTTGAACAGAACAGAATCTCAAAAAGCCAAGAATAAAATTTTCGTAGAAAAAGTATTAGGTTCTCAAGATGTTATCTTGGATGGTCCCTTTCCAAAAATTATCGTGTAAGTGCTATGGGCACTACATGTTTTGGGGAAGAATGAACCCCCCGCGAAAAAGAAAGTCATTCTGCATTTACCTACACCTGACGTAAGACCTTTATGCACTCGGGGGTGGGGGCGTATTCCATACGTTTTGGGCAAGAATGTACAGGGTGGCCAAATAAGAATGCGAGGTACTGTATCTGGGAACCTGTCCATCGTAGAGGCTTGCGGTAAAAAATTTATTACTAAAACGGCCACGAGAAAAACCTGGAAAATGTCTTTAAGTTTCTGCACTGGCCGCTAGGGGGCGTAACTGCAATCTGGAATCTAAAAAAGTGAGTTTTCTGTGAATTCCGCTATATTAACCTAACAAAAAAATGTCCGGTCTTTGAAGTTGACGATAATCTGAACCTTTTTTGTTTGACAATTTTTTCTGTATCTCTAAAAATGAAGTGGTGGGGGGTATTCAAAGGTTTCCGTAAAGAAGACTGCATCTTCGAAACGACTGAGCCGATTTTAACATACTCAGGTTAATTGAAAAGAGTTATTCTTCGGCTAGAAAAGTTTTGTTAGTTTCGCATATCGCCGCTTGAGGGCATTTTTCGACATTCTGACAGAAATGGTTAATTTTCTCAAAATAATTAAATGCACTGCTTCGATTTTTTTTCATGAAAAAGTGGCTAAATGATGCCTAAACAAACTCACGAAAACCGCATCTCGATATCTTGCTCCTAACCAAAAATTTAGGGCAAAGATAATTTTATACCCTCAAAATTTTATTTTTTAAGCTAATTTTTCCAGAATTATTTTTTTATTTTTATTTTATTTTTATTATATAATTTGTCGCCCTAAGGTGGATCGATTTAAAAAATAAAGCTTTTATTAATGCACTGCAATCCAATGCATTTCATTTTTTTTTGAGAAAATTAACCATTTCTGTCGGAATGTCGAAAAAAGCCCTCAAGCGGTGATATGTGAAACTAACCAAACTTCAAATAGTATAATATTTGTAGCTGAAGAATAGCTCTTTTGAACTAACCCAAGTTTGTTTAAATCGGCTCAGCCGTTTCGAAGATACAGGGTGTTCTTTACGGAAACCTTTGAATACCCCCCACTTCATTTTTAGAGATACAGGAAAAATTGTCAAACAAAAAAGGTTCAGATTATCGTCAACTTTAAAGACCGGACATTTTTTTGTTAGGTTAATATAGCGGAATTCACAGAAAAATCACTTTTGGGTTCCAGATTGCAGTTACGCCTCCTAGCGGCCATTGCAGAAACTAAAAAATATTTTCCAGGTTTTTCTCGTGGCCGTTTTAGTAATAAATTTTTTTACCGCAAGCCTCTACGATGGATAGATTCTCAGATACAGTACCTCGCATTCTTAGTTGGCCACCCTGTTACAAACCAGGGTGTCTAATTCCCCCAGGAAAAAGAAAATTCATTATGTTTTGGGGGAGAATATACGGGGGGGGGGGGGGGGGTAGAATACTCCCTAGGACAGGAAAATGAAAGTCATTCTTTATTTACTTACACCTGACGTAACACATTTGTGGGTATTCTATACGTTTTGGCCAAGAATGTACAGGGTGTCTCATTAATAATGGTCACAGGCCATATCTATGGAACCGTTAATTGCACAGCTTCGGGAAAAAAATTTGTTAACAAAATGGGCCAAGCAAAATCGCTGGAAATTATTTTCAAGTTTTTAGCTTCGCCGTTAGAGGGCGTACGATTCATGGTTAAGTAGAAAAATTACTTTTTTCCTCAAATATATCTAACAAACATGCATAAAAATACATGCAGATGCATAGCAATCTTGTATCAATTTTGTACCATTTTGATGCAGCACATATTGCTCTACCTTATAAAATATGAGGGGTGGGGGAAGGGGAACGTCTCCTTAAGGAATTGAATGTAACTTCGGTTTAGGTTAACAGATTTTCACGTAATAGGTCTTGTTGGAAAAAGCTTTCTTCGTGGAATCAGATTTTACATGAATAGAGTCTTTTTAGTAAATGTGATGAGTGGTAGAGGGCGCGATGTGACATTAACATAAACTTTGCAGGTTTTTTTGAAAATTTCAAATGGAACGATATAATTATTATATGATATTATCAAATAATATGAAAAAGTGAGAATATGTTAATGTAACATCGCGCCCTCTACCACTCATCACATTTACTAAAAAGACTCTATTCATGTAAAATCTGATTCCACGAAAAGAACCCTCTCCAACAAGACCTATTATGTGAAAATCTGTTGACCTAATCCGAAGTTACATTCAATTCCTTAAAGAGATGTTCCCCTTCCCCCACCCCTCATATTTTATGAGCTAGACTAGAGCAATATGTGCTGCATCAAAATAATGTAAATTTGATACAAGATTGCCATTCGATTGATGTATTGTTCCATCGTTCTTTAAACGTGTTGTATGATGAGGATTGGGATTCAAGAAAATCTTTTTAAACACGTTTTTTTTTATTTTTTACTGTTGCGGCTATCGATTTCGACCTTAACAGGTCATCTTCAGGCTGAGCGAAGATTGCGATGCATGTATTTTTATGCATGTTTGTTAGGTATATTTTAGGAAAAAAGTAATTTTTCTACTTAACCATGAATCGTACGCCCTCTAACGGCGAAGCTAGAAACTTGAAAATAATTTCCAGCGATGTCTCTTGGCCCCTTTTGTTGACAAATTTTTTTCCCGAAGCTGTGCAATTAATGGATAATGTGACCATTATTAATGGGACACCCTGTACAACCGGAGACTTGGAAATACCTCTCAGGAAAAAGGAAATTAATCTTCATTTATGTACAACTAACAGAAGACTTGAAGCACTGGGAGTGATCCATATATTTTAGGGAAGAATATACAACATGGGGGGGGTGCCTTGGACAGGGAAATGAAACTCATTCTATATTCACGTATACCTGACGTAACACCTTTGTGCACTGGGGGGTATTACATACGTTTTGAGCAAGAATGTACAACCGGAGGGTCTGGAATTCCATTAGGAAAACGAAAGTCATTATTCATTTACCTACAACTAACATAAGACCGTTGGTCCCACACCGGTGGGTCTTCTATACCTTTTGAGCAAGAATGTACAACCGGGGGGTCTGGAATACCCCCCAGGAAAAAGAAAGTTAATTTTCATTTACCCTACAACTGACATGAGACCTTTGGTCCCACAGTGGTGGGTATTCCATATGTTTTAAGGAAGAATGTACCAAATTACCCCCCCCCCCCGGTTTGGAAAAATGCCCTCAGGACCTACAATTAACAAAAGACCTTTGTGCATTGGGGCGGGAGGGGGGGGGGTATTGAATCTGACAAAGATCCCATACCCCACAAAGTCATGGTATTACGAGAAGAATAGATTGAGAGAGATCCCAACTTGTTCAACGAAAATTTTATTTAATGACATTTAATGCAGTTTCTTTACAAGGACCGATAGTTATTTTGAATACAAATCAAAAAGAATTTCATTACCTTAATTATAGCGTTTCCTGGAATCGATGACTTCCCTCAAAACTGGATAATGCAGAACGAAACTTGGATCTCCAACAGGAATACTGTCGAAGTTTTTTGGATTTTGATTAGATTACATCGCCTTGTGCAATTGATCGGGCAATAGACCGTCTATTTTTTATCGTCTGCTTTCACCCAGCTTTCCTCTCTCGCAATATAATGTAGCGAACATTCCGGAAATTTCGATAGACATCGAGGCGCCATGACAGATTAGTCATTGACGATAAAGGCGGATGTGACGCAATCTTTCCGGGAGATATGACGTGTTTGTTCGAGAACATTAAAGAAGATTCGGAAGCGTTCGGTAGCATTCGAGTTTGCTGTCGGATTGCGTTTCAGACCGAACTTTTTGAAAAACTCGGCTCGGCTCGAGATTATGGTTGTCCGGCTCGGCTCGAGATTATGGATGTCCAGCTCGAATTTAAGATAATAGAATTTTCAACTGAAGGTTGAAGGTTAAAAAATTTTAAGAATCAATTGATTTTAATAAGTTGACTAAATATAAACAAAACATTATACAGGAACCGGCAGCTAAGAAGGCGAGAGGTGACGCATCCCCATTATTCATATTCTATTGATTGCACCTATTGGTCACTGTCACTGGCTCCTCCTGCTCATCTGC